TCGGTTCCATGCCGGTCAGCAATTTTCGGGGTCACGTGTGCTTCCTCCCTACGCGTCCACTCCCTGCCCTAGGTGTGTTATTATGCGCGCTAAACCATGATGTAGCATTTGAATTAGCGCCTTGATGGCTACCAGGCTGCTTTTTGTGCTGAAACTGTGAATACTTGCGTCTTATTGCCTCACTGGTTGGGAGCTAAGAGCAGATTTTGTCCTCCTTCTTCTTCAGGACCTCTTCTGCGTGTCTCGACAACAAAAGCAGTCGCCATCACCGCCGACAGCAGGCGCAACGGTCACCACGAGTGTGTTCAGTCGCGATCCAGAGCTCCCCACCTACTCCCCGAAGCCCTCCTTCACGGAGACGTCTTTTCTGCAAGTGCCTGCCAGGGACTCGCGTGTCCAACTGCCGACCTCTTGGCTATCGGGGCTGAGCGCTCGCCAGCACCCCCGCCACCGTCGCGACAGCGACCACCAGCAACTGTCGTCGTGGGAGTTGGAGCGATTGCAGCGTCTGCTGGAGCACTCCTCGTGCTTCCTGTCCGACGAAGAAGGCCTTGTCGATGCCAACGAGAGCGACCCTTCCCCTAAAAAACCCTTCACCGTCACTCCGCCTCCTCCCCAGCACATCGATGTCGAGGAGAAACTAACCGCCCAGTTTGCTCATCGCTTTGATAAGTTAGAAATGTGAGTCTAACAAGTCGTGTGGTTTATGCAAACTAGAGCACCTTGTACGGTACACGGTGAATGCATTTGCCTGTGGTTTACGCGATGCCGCCAAATTCGCATGCTGGTGGGCGTACGAAAGGAAGAGACAACCGCGGTCCTCGTTTCCTTCCTCCGCCTGCCGGTGGATCGGCTTTTTTTCCCTTGCTGAAATCTCTGTTCACTTGCAAAAAACACATGGAAATGCGTCTCTGCAGTGATTAAAATGGGCAACTCCCATCTCCACGTGTGCGTGGTGCTTTTGAACCAATTTTTCCTGCTTTATTTGGCACTTGTGAGCAGTAAATCTCTCTCGTTTTGCAACTAGGGTGTGGAATTTTACCAAACTCCAAGCAGATTGACTCATCATTGCTACCTGTTGCGTTGTTAAATCGTGGTGACGTCTTACGCTGACCGTGTTTGTGTGTGTGTGTGTGTTTGGCCTGGGCTTGGTTCTGTATTTCTGAATTATGCAAAACTTCCGCTTGCCGCCATCAGCTGGATGGTTTTCATCTTGAATGTACAGGCCTTTCCTAGCTCTCTGCTTATTGAAACCGCCTTTTTTTAGCAAACCAATCCAATTCATTGATATCAACCAATCTCTTGTCGGTTTAGGTCGCATGGCGTCTGTGTGGTGTGCAGATTTGCGTAGCAAGTGTTTTTGTGCATAATAACGCGTAGGCATGTTTGAAGCAAACCCTTCAGCCAAGTGGTGGCAGCAGGTAGATGAGAAGGAGTGACGGTGGACCTCGGAAGCCTGAGTCCCACACTCTCGCCTGTGCTTGCACGCTCAACAACCATCCTCACATGTGTTGTGTGTGTGTGTGTGTGTGTACCAATGACGCTCCTCAAAATGTCATGGGTTTGTTAGCCTCACCTCTGCGAGGTTACCGTTGAACCGTTGCTGTGAGGCGTCCAGGTCAACTCCCTCGGGAGCGATTGCCGTAATCGACGTTATGCTCTCCTAAAAATCCTCCAAGATCTCCATAAGCAATGATTACTTGCTTCTTGTGCATAACCCTCGTCCTTACACTCGTTTACTTGCCTACAAAGCACAAGTGGTGTAGATCGCTACAACCAGTTGTTCGTGCATGTCCAGTGACCTGTCGTTGATGACGTCTGAGTGAAGGAGCTTGTTCAGGCAGGATTGTCTCAAGCTGATTGGTCTCTGTTGTCCACCGTTATTCGTCCACATAAGGACTCGACTTAACACCCTAATCTGGTCGTGTCGCAGTCTCAAATTCAACACCTACATGTCCAATGAACTGTCTACGAAGACGTCCGATTTAAGGGAGCTTGTTCGGACACGGTTGCCTCAAGCTGATTGGTGGGTGTGGATCACTTTTTTCCATTCACACTAATACGCAAGTCTTCCTTGATCGTAGATCCAATGCCTCTCAACACCCAGTAGGATTGCTGCAGCAGCCCTGATCCGTGACTTTCTCACAATTTCACTTGAGGTTTTTGTGGGCCTCAGCTTGTGGTCTTGAACCACGCCGGGGCCACGGAATTAACCCTGGCCCGACTACGCCTCCCTGATACTCGCGATGAAGAAAAAGATCGGGGAGGACGGGACACAACCGTTTAATTCTGAGCTCAACCGAAACTGGTGCCGTGTGTATTTATACCTCAGGCGTGTGAGTCATACATGCGCTAACATCGAAACCTAGGTGCTAGGATAATCCAGTACACATTTTCGTGCGAATGAAGGGGGAGTTGAGGATCCGCGCGGCTGGCGACATGCTGCGAAAAAGGGAACCCTGTGTAGGAGGTGGAGCGACCGGATTAATGGGTGTGAATAAACACGATTCACGACAAGGTAAACGCATTCGCACAGGTCTCCCTACGCATTGACGGAGTAGGTCCCTCATTCGCGCGGGGAGGCGTCTTGAAAGCGGCGTGGAGGTGTTTTTTTCCAAACACGTGTGAGCTTCCCCCCCCTCTCTCTCTCTCTCGCCTTCCTCTTCTTCTTTTTTTTCCCTCGAACAGCCAGTGCGTGGTTTTTTACCTGTATCTTATTCCACGACAGAGGAGGCCTATATCATATTTCGTAGTTGCGTTCTACCCATCCATCGTCAACTCCGTGCACACTAAATGGGATATCGGTTTCCTGTGGCTGGTGTCTTGTTCCTCCCTTCCTCCCTCGTCCTTATATCTGTGGTGTGGCGCATCATTAACCCCCGTTTTTTATCGGTCTGTTGGTGATTTTCGATTCAAATCCATCGGCTAGTACATGCCGGAAAAGATGGTGGATGAGGCGTGTCGCCGTTACTATGCATTGTCGTGGTGAGGAATAACGCCATTTTCATTCATTAATCTTTGGGATTTTTCGAAAACGATAATGTTTCAGCAGTTATGATTATATCGGGATTCTCAACACCATGATAGATCCTCCTGTCATCACTCCGACGAGTTCTTGGGGGGCGATGATCGCTGGTGGCTTGTTGAAGGGGCTCAAGTGAGAAATCGTTGAGACACTGGACCCTTTTCCTGCCTCTACAAAGATGCTCTGCAAGCTGAACTTCGTTCCTAGTTGTTTGCGCTGGGTCCACTCTGGATTGATTGCCCTTTTTTCCCTAACGAATCCCGAGTGTTTGTAAGTTGTTTAAACCGACGCTGGCAAATTTGGCCTTTGGATGTTTCAGCACTGGCGTGGCATTTTCGCTCTGGCGTAACGCATAAAGCATCAAATGTCCCATGTGTACTTTTCCACGGCTCGGCTTTTCCACCACCACCGCCTAACGCTACGCTTAAATTATTTAAGGAGTTTTTTTGCAACCTGCACACTGAGTGGCAATAAATCTAGCCACAATAAGCACCGATCAAGGGGATAGGTTGGAACGCTTCGTCCAATCGCAGGCGTTTGTGCATTGGTTAGTGGTTGTAAGAATTTGGGCGTGCACGCGCCACCTCCCGCGCGCGTCTTGAACACCTACCCCCTGCACTTTCGGGGTTAACGCTTCTTTTTGTTGTAGGAATCTCATGGAATTGGAGGAGAAGATGACCTCCACATTCGTCACTCTCCTGGACCACCTGAAGCGTCGCGTGTCCAGCGGATCGAGTGTGGAGGCTGCCACGTCAACGGAGGACCTGGATCTAGCCACGACAGATCTCTAGTCGTCGCGACCGGCGATCGCGTAGATAGAATCCTCCTTCTCCTCCCGTTGTTACCCACCTACCGCCCAAGGCGCCAACAGATCCCCGTCAGTGCAATGCAACATATCCATCTGTGCAATTTTTACGAAGCCCCCTCCCCACCTAGCGCATCGGAGACCGGTACCACTTGACCGATCCACAACCAGCGCCGATGTAGTTATCTCCCCCCGCCGCCGCGTTCTCCCTAAGGGACCAGCAAGTTGTGTGTGTGTGTGTGTCGAATCACACTGATTTCAACGGACCAAGGCTATTTTTGCGTATTACTCATCTCCCTGTCCCCTCACTCTACCTCACTTCTTTCATTCCTAGGTCATGACTTTCCTCCAATCCGTGCCTCCCTTTCCTTCCAAACACACATACACACTCACACACGCACGCACCAACATAGACAAGGGATATTGAAGGTTATACAAGTTGCTATTTTCCTTCTCGTCTTGATTTGCCTTTTTTCTGGTATGCTTGTGCGTGTGTGTGTGTTTGTGTTTTGTGTTCGTCGTGGCATCTGGTCCGAAATTCATCCATTAAACAACAAGGACCACTTGACCGTTTCTGATTGGATGAATTCATTTCGACCACACCCTCACCGCCTTTGCTAACGCCGTTTATCATGGGCTATTGGTTGCCCGGTGTTTGGGCTGAGAATGTAGTGCGCAGTTCATTGGTAAAATGACAGGCACCAGTTTCGAAATCTGACGTGCACGTTATTACGCCTGATGTCATCTCGAGCGCTTCCTCGCCCCATTGGTTGATCCCTTTCTAAGTGGCCATTGGTTGGCTGAGCTGCCTAACTCTTATAATCTAATTATGAAATGCAAACTATGCAGACGAGTAGATTTGAAAGTTCTATTGGCGAATCAAATGAAGGTGTCCGTTTACCTTACTTATGTACTCGTGTTCCGCTAGTTTCGTTGTGTGTTCCTGAACCTGTTCTTGTCTGTTGGTCTTCACAACCTGTTGGGATTGGAGGAAATTGTGTTGTCGACAACTTCAGGAGTTAGAAGGTGTGAAAAGGCGGTCCACAATCTCAGGCAGTCGTGCACCTCACCTTCAAAATACGGCAAATGATTTGGCTTCAAGGAACTTGGCCTCTCAAGACATTTTCTATTCCACTAAGATCTGGAGTGTTGAGTGGCGTTGCTGTAAAGATGATACCAGATGTACGCTGTGTGTTGGTAGTCAAAACACAGCTATTGGCTGTTTAATTCCTTTGTACTCTTCTCGTAATATTACAAACCGGTTTTATAACGTGTAGACATCCTTTTGACAGCACTACGCCTTCCGTTGTGGCAACAGTAGACGGCTACTCGGTGGTTTTTGCTTGTGATTTGCACGGACAACTCCCATAACGTGGTTTCGTTTCCGTTTTCTCTCGAAAACGCTTCCCTGCTTTAAGTGGCTGTCGTTATCGCCGCTTCTGGACCTCGCTACTTGACAAAGAGAGATTGTCGTGGCGTTAGCCTAGCTGGAAGGATGACTTGGGGGCATCGGAAGTATTCGATCTAGATGTAGAAGTCAATTTAACCCGAGTTGAAGGACAAGTGTTCGATTCTCCGACTCTTGCACCTGTCGTAGCATCGCTCATGGTATGTCTGGCGTTGTTGCAGGCTAACGTGGCGCAACCGCGTGCCGTTCCAGAGGCGGAGTTGCGTGACTGGGGCGCGAAGATCCGTGACCCAAGTGTGCCGCTGGTGGAGCGCGCGCACGCCATGTGGGGTCTGCGTCACGCGCGGGAGGCCCTGGCGACACGCCTGTTGGCCGCCTACGTGACCGACGTGGTGCCGCCTAGCCCCGCCGCCAACGCCCTCCTCCAACACGAGGCCGCGTACTGTCTGGGACAGCGCGGCGACGTCTGGGCGGTGGCGCCGCTCGAAGCAGCCCTTCGTGACACCCGACACGAGGCCATCGTGCGCCATGAGGCTGCCGAGGCGCTAGCTGCTCTCGCCTCTGCGCCTGGTGCCAACATCTCCCACATTAAGGCACTTCTCACCGAGTTCCTTACCAGCGATGCAGTGGCGGTAATTGTTTTCGCTGAATTCCTACTAATATTATGTTAGTAGTCAGTGTTTTATAAATATAACTGCCCTCAACATTGCAGGTGGCAGAGACGTGTGAGGTTGGGCTAGGCCGCATCGCCTGGCTCCAGCAGGCCAACAAGACGCCCGACCCAGACGCAGATCGAGCGGAGGCTGAGTTTCCAAACACAGTCGACCCCTCGCCGGCATTTCCTCCCGGAACACCACGATCAATAGCCGACTTGCGCGCGGTCCTACTCTCTCCCAACCGACCCCTGTTCGAGCGCTATCAAGCCCTCTTCTCGCTGCGCAACTCCGCAGTAGCCTCTGCTGTGGGTGCCGGCGGTGATGACCACAAGGAGGCAATCATCGAGGCTCTCTCGGCGTCTCTCGCTGCCCCGGGCTCTGCCCTGTTGCGCCACGAGGTCGCCTTCATCCTGGGCCAGCTGGGTATCTGCCGAACCGGACCAGCCCTCATTGAGCGCCTTGAGGACACCCAGGAGGCGCCCATGGTGCGCCACGAGTCCGCGATGGCCCTCGGCGAGGTAGCTGGCAAGGCGCAGGACGACGACGAGGCCGCAGGTGAAAGCAGCCTGGCGAAGAGAGCGCGGGAGGTGCTCCTAGCCGGCTGTCAGGACCCCGAACCGCTTGTGCGCGATTCGTGCGCGCTCGCCCTCGATATGGCCGATTACGTGGCCTCTAATGAGAGGTTCCAGTTTGCCGAAGTTCCAAAGTGTTAACGCATTAAGTGTGTGTGTATGTGTGGACTTTTTTTCATATTCAAATTAACCATCGCGCGATCTTCCAATTGCATTCGGGGAAATTTTCTATTGGCGGAAGATGTTAACTGGCCCATTTCTGCAGAGCCAATCAGAATTAGCGATGCGGTGAGCGTGTCGTCATCCAATCAACTCTTTGTATTCCGATAGGCATACTCTTTAAAGTGGACGGTCGTTAATTTGGACTGTAGTAAATACGCAAGTAGAAATAATCTATAAGATATTAGGATGACTCATCACACGAACGATCTCGCAATTTCAAAGTGCCACAGACTGTTTAATTATGCAGGAAAACGTCTACCCGCTTCGACTTGGCGATGCCGGATAAATTTGGCACCTTGTGGCTTGTAAGTATCACAGAATTGCCAAATAAATTCACCTACTTTTGTAAATACCATGGCGAAACCTTCTCACATTTCACTGGGATGGACTAGCCATGTCCAGTCCATTAAGTCACCTGCCAAGGGTTTTAAGGAAACGACGCGATAGGTTTAGGCAAGTACCTAACGAGGTTAATTTTCTTAAGTGGACAATTAGTAAGGCTTGCTAAGCCAACAAACTCCAATTTATGTTCTCTACTAACAGCAGGAGTTGGCATCTAGGATGTGTTACATAAGTGGAATCAGGGAGTGAACAGACGATGTGTTTAGTCGTGCGGAACAGGGAATTAATGCGACTGGGCTGATCCCTGTACTGTGGTTCGATTTTAAAAGTCTATCTACACCTTAACGAAGGGGATAGGCAGAATCATTGGTTCTGTAGGGACACTGCTGTAGATGAAATTCGAGACGTGTTGTAAACTGGCAGCTGTGCTGGAACACCCAACAAGCGGTTTGTCAAATTCGCCACCCTTAGCCAGCAGTGAAAGGCATTTTTTTCAAACGTTGACCTAGACTGAGTTTGGTCAACACTTGTGGGGGGGTCCAACTTCAAAACTTCTGTAATTTCCCCATTTGGTGCAGACTTGGACATAGAGCGGGAAAATATAATGTTGTGAATCGTGTTTATTCATATCCCTTAATCCGGTCGATCCACCTCCGACACAGGGTTCCCTTTTTCGCAGCCGCGCGGATCCTCAACTCCCTTCTCATTCACACGAATATTTATCTTGGATTATCCTCACACCTAGGTGCCGATGTTAGCGCATGTATGACTCACACATCTGAGGTATAAATACACACGCGCAAACCCCACACACGACACAACGACACCAACGAGGTTGAGCTCTGAAGTAAACGGCTTTGTCCACGTCCTCTCCGGTCTTTTTCGTCATCGCGGGTATGAGGGAAATGTAATCGGGCCAGGGTTAATTCCGTGGTCCCGGTGTGGTTCAAGACCACATGCTGGGGCCCATAATAGTCTGTTCCCAGATGTATACTCCTTCTGTGCAAAGCCTTCACTTCACCTCAAATGTAATTCTCGGTCTAGTTGGATTCAGCGACTCAAACATGGGTGTTGTTAGTAGTAGGGGAAAGCGGTTGGTAGACAAGCGGCCCACACGAACCGGCCCGCTTCTCAGCCACCGTCTGATTGTCACTGCAGCACACACCATTTTGTCTTCGCGAAATTCGCTTAAGTCATCTGATGCAGCTTTTACGTGTCGTGCTGCAATTGGTTGAGATGTACACACGTGCTTCGTGCCTACCATTCACTGCCAGTGGGAACCGTCCTTTAAACTTCGAAAAATCGGCCCCAGCTGGTGTGGCGCTAACGACCAGCGTGGCCAGTGATGCGTCCAAGACATGAATTTGGTGTGAATCGCGTTGATGCACTCTCGCTAATCCCGTCACGCCAGCCTCCGACACAGGGTTCCCCTTTTTCGCAGCATGCCGCCAGCGGCGCGGATCATCAACTCCCCCCTCACTAGCGCGAACAATAATTTTGAATTATCCTCACATCTTGGTATCGATGTTGGCACATGTATGACTCACCCATCTTAGGTTTAAATGCTCACTCACAAATGTCACAGACGACACCAACTAGGTTGAGTTCTGAAGTAAACGGTTGTGTCCACGTCCTCTCCGGTCTTCTTCCCCGCGGGTATCAGGGAAGCGTAATCGGGCCAGGGTTGATTCAGCAGCCCCAGCGTGGTTCAAGACCACATCCGGGGGCCCACAACAATGTTTACATACTTTGGAAATTGATTCTCTTATGTTACGGTTACCGTTAATCAAACATAAAGATCGAGTGCAACTAGACGTCAAGGTTTTTTGCCAAACACATGACTTCGAGGAGGGAGCTTTCACTGTCTAAGCCAACGGCATAGCAACATGTCAGAATGAGCATCTTATAAAAGTCGTGAGGGGCCTTGATCCCGTGTATTAAGGGGGAACACCAAAAATAAAAGTTGTCTTTAAAAATCTCGGGCGGATGTTTGGAGAACGCACCTCCTTGCTCAGTACCCGATATCGCGGTCTCAAGCTCTCAAGAGGAGAGTTTAACGACTTCTTAGACCATCTAGCAGTGGTCGATCAAGAGTATGATACGTCAATTCAAATCAAAACTCTCATTTTCATTTGCAGCCTTCAAATCCTTAGGTAGACGGGTCTGAGAATGCGGCTCCTGCACTTGGTCGATCGAAATCCCTCCGTGACGCTGGACTAGATTCGCGATGAATACCTACACTGGAGCAGCGTACCGCAGTACTCTAGATTGATCCAAGTAGTGAGCCGCAGTTCTCCCGAGGTCAATACGGTCCAGCGTATCATCAAACCACCTCCCACCTCTGGCCCTCCCAGTCAAAGTTGGACAAGGAACCAGCCGACGAAAATCTTCGAAGGAGAACAAGGGACACCCCCTTTCCCATGGTAGCACTGTAGGGCCTGGCATTATGTCAAGTTCTGCCCATTCCAGCAGCAGTGATGCCAGCGATGCAAAGTTATGGGCCATAGAGGATGGATTCTGCCAATCGTTCCCGTCCAACAAGAATGGATGGCACCCCCATCTCCAGACATGGAAAAGGTCAAAAACCAAACAGGCTAGCTCCACCACCGCATCCCCTAGCCTACAGATCACCTCCGAAGATGCTCTACAGCAGCAGAGGATGTGTACAACTGTCCTCATCAATAGCTATCGAGTTCGTCTGCAACTGGACAAAGCCTCGGACATTAACGTCATCTCGAAGAACCAATGGCGCTTACTCGAGTGGTCTCCTCTCAGGCCCACCTCTCAAACTGCAATCAGTGCCTGCGGGGGTGAAATTCACTTCCGTGACCAAATACAATGCCGTGTGTGCTTCAGCGGAACAACCTTTAGTGGCAAGTGTTATGTCATCAGCGCCAAACTGAACCTCCTTGGTCTGGATTGGTTCGAACAATTGGGTTTGGCCGATATGCCGATCAGCTCCATCTGCAACGCCCTACACTTGTCAAAACACCCTCAAATTACCGCGGACATTATCAGTCAGTTCATTACGGTTTTTCAACCTGGATTGGGACAATGTTCTACGACACAGGCCACCCTTTGCCTTATGCCGGACGCCAAACCGGTCTTCCCTCCGAAAAGACCGGTCCCATACGCATCGTTACTGCTGGTTGACGCTGAGTTAGAACGTCTTGTACACGAAGTCTTCCCGGCTCATCAGTTGCCAGCCCATCACCAAGGAAGATGCCATCACTGCCGCCATCTACGTCGACGACGGTATCACACAACAGATGTCTCAAACAGTTCGTGCGCTGCCGGTTTCGATTCTCGACATTAAACAGAAAGCGGCCTCGGACAACACACAACGGCAGGCCATGCGTAACGTCCAAAGCAAATGGTCAAACCGTTCCCCCACCGGAGATCTTCAGCAGTTGTTCCGGCGACGCGATTCCCTTTGCGTTATAGACGGCTGCTTGATGTTCGGAGAACGCGTTGCGGTGCCCAAATCACTGCGCTTGCGGGTTCTTTGTCAATTTCTTACTGGCCATCCCGGCATCGGTCGCATGAAGTCTATCGCCCGCAGCTACGCCTACTTGCCAAATATGGATCAGCAAATCGCAGACCTGATCAAGAGTTGCCGCCAGTGTCAGCAGGCCGCCAAGAACCCTCCCAAGGTTCCTTCAGTCCCTTGGCCACAGCCACAAAAAACCCTGGTCACGGATCCATATCAACTTTGCGGGACCGATCAACGGAGTCTCCTACCTTGTGCTAGTAGACTTCTACTCAAAAATGGCCGGAAATCTTCCCAATGACTTTCCACCCGGCAACAAGGACATTACGGGCTCTGTCCCAAATTTTCAGCCGCCATGGGATTCCGGAAGCTACAGCCTCCGACAATGGTTCACAGTTCACATCGCATCAATTCAGCGAATTCTGCCGACAACATGCTATTACCACATGCGTTCCCAACCCTATCATCTACAGTCAAATTGAGAGGCAGAAAGGTTTGTAGACCCATTGAAGTGAGCTCTGTTAAAATCCCGTGGCGAAGGAACTACATCCGTCAACAGCCTTCAGCATTTCCTGCTCTTCCAAATCGACAGTCGACATCGGAGGCACTTATGGGTCGCGAATCGCGGACAACAAACTCCGCTATGATTCCGGTACAAGGCAATCACCTGGAGCCTCCAAGTACGAAATCTACCACGCCGTTTGAGATTGGAACAGCCGTGTACGTTTGAGACAATCAACCGAGACACGACCCAGGGATCGAGGGGACGATTGCACGCGAGCACGGAAAAGTCATGTTCGACGTGGCCGTGGACAACAATACGTGGTCAAGGCATCGCAACCAGCTCCGGTGGAGAAAATGATCTACGACATCGAATCGCCAAACCAACGTCCCACAGGATGCGCTGTTCGGCACTTTCCAGCCGCCAACACCAAACGCAACGCAAGTGAAAGTGGACAGAGGTCAGTTAGCAGCAGGCCGATCATCACACCCAAGACGGAGCAGTCGGAAACGACAGCATCCAACACTGCTCCAAGTCAACCCAAAGTCAAGGGGAAGAGGTGTTGGTGATTCAGGCTTCCCCCAAGATGGCTCATCGCCGATTTTCGTCATTGTTAACACGAATTCCCTAACTCACACCAACCTACTGGCAACTCCATCCGTGTTAATCTGGTCTCATACACCAGGTCGACTTCACCCTTGACTTATATAAGTGTTGACATTCTGACAGATTACACGGACTTTGGCCCTACGCGATTAAAGCTCTCTGCACGAGTTCTTGTCTTGTTTTTGCATTAGCATGGGAAGGTAGGTTCTTGCGTCTGAGTAGGTTCTTTCTTGTCTACGGGCGAACGTAACAAAACAGAGAACAATAAGAGTAAGGGATTGAAATTCCGACCCGTTCTGGAGGCATGTTGGGTTTTTTCGACGCAACGTGTAACACACGTGAGAACAAGCAATGTGTCGAATGGCCTGTGTGGTTCATCCAAGCGTTGCTTTATCCCACTAAGTAAAGCTAACTGTGGAAGGGACATTATTGCTACACGTTCGCAAGAAGGTTCAAGCAAATTCTTCAACCAGGAACCAATTGCATCTTGATTCAATGCGTGGAACAAGTGGGCTAGATAGGCTAGACTGGGCACTGTGTTGCACTTTTACAACTAATTCCAGAGTGATGCCAAGTTTTTGCGATGTTCGTCATGAGCACTTTCACGGAACCTCGAGCGAAGACAGTTGCAATGAGCTGGTCGGTTTCCACGTTTGAAAGACACTTGCAGCTTCGAGGTCTTGTAAGGCCTTTCAACGAATATGTTGACTTTATGGGCAGACATAAAGCTCGAGTGCAACCAGACGGACACCTCGTCCACAAGGTAGGCCAAACACATGACCTGCAGCAGGGAGCGTTTGCCGTCTCAGCCAACGGCCAAGTGGCATGTCAGAATGCACATCTTATGAATGTCGATTAGATGGCAGTTAGTGAACTAGCGTACCCACACGCCTGCACTGCTCAATCACTTCTGCCTCCTTCTGAACAAGTGAACACAGGTGAGAAGGTGAAAAAAGCGGACTTCTGCTGTTAACGACAATAATGAGACTCGACCACAGACGACAAGGAACGTGTTACCACGACGGAATCATGCCTGGTCATTAGAATACACTCATTGTCTTTCAATAAGACCTCTTGTAAGTTTGCGGCCACCGTCGAACTGACGATCAGGCACATTTGGTACCTCCGAGTTGAATGCCTCCAGTTCTTGGCTAGACGATCGGACCGACCGACCTACACATCGAGCAGTTGAGCTTACGTCCAGTTCGCAATCACAAACCGAAGGTGGGTGATCATGGACTCGAATGCTCTCTCCAAGTTGAACTTTGTGTGAAGTGCTCTGAACCGCGTTAAATAAATCTGGTTTGTAGCAGAACGTAGACACCGATCCGCCCTGACAGATTGACAATTGTGGTTATGGCAAATGCTCGAACGAGCCTGCTGAGTTCAAGTGGTGAATGGGACGTTCAGTCAAGTTATCACGAAATCGGCAGTTTAATGCTCTTGTTGTCTGCTAAAACAATTTC